AAAAAGTAGACAGATGACAAATTAGTTCAGTAACTAACTGCAGGAGTAGATAGATGACTGACTGTTTCAGTAACTGACTGAAGAAGTAGATAACTGACTGATTGTTTCAGTAACTCACTGTAGGAATACATGAATAATGTATGCATGGCGTGAGGCGAGAAGGGCAGAATGTCAGACAGGCCTGTGTGCCCAATTCTCGACCCTTTGAAAATAAAGTTTGTTCGCTCGTTTGTTCGTAGATAGAATACTGTTTCAGTAGCTGGTTGAATCGGTAATTCTGTGATTAGCTGATATACCAGCGACAGTTTCTGCTGTTGAAAACACTGGCAGAGACACCATCACATTATGCATTCTTCATCATCTGTCGGTGCAGCTTGATTACAGACCCCAGCCCGTTTGATGTGCGCCAGTCAAGCCCTTCTTTGTCTGCCTAATTGAATTATGGAGTTGCATTGATAGCTACGACTCTGAAGATGAAATGTACAGGAGACTAAGGGGGTAATCTTTTCAATTATTGTCGAACTGGAAATGTATCAGGTAAGTAGAAAACACGTTGTCTGTGCCATCATTGAAGTCGTAGCTGGGGATAATGAGAGATCTGTGTATTGTTGTTCGCGCTGAAAGTTGCGTTTGCATAACAGACGAGCTGCTCGGTTTTTACCGCCCAGTATTACTGTGCCTCAAATTGTTTAATTTCTCTTTCTTTGCAGTCAGGAAAAAAAAAACTTCTGAAAAAGCAGGCAGGTAAGTAAACAAACATGACAGCAGGCAGATAGGTAAACAAACATGAGAGCAGGCAGGTAGGTAAACAAGCACAACAGCAGGCAGTTATGTAAACAAACATGACAGCAGGCAGGTAGGTAAATAAACATGACAGCAGGCAGGTAGGTAAACAAGCATGACAGCAGGCAGGTAGGTAAACAAGTATGAGAGCAGGCAGGTAGGTAAACAAGTATGACATCAGGCAGCTAGGTAAACAAGCATGACAGCAAGCAGGTAGGTAAACACACATGACAGCAGGCAGGTAGGTAAACAAACATAACAGCAGGCAGGTAGGTAAATAAGCATGACAGCAGGCAGGTAGGTAAACAAACATGACAGCAGGCAGGTATGTAAACAAGCATGACAGCAGGCAGGTAGGTAAACAAGTATGACAGCAGGCAGGTAGGTAAACAAGTATGACAGCAGGCAGGTAGGTAAACAAGCATGACAGCAGGCAGGTAGGTAAACAAACATGACAGCAGGCAGGTAGGTAAACAAGCATGACAGCAGGCAGGTAGGTAAACAAGCATGACAGTAGGCAGGTAGGTAAACAGGTATGACAGCAGGCAGGTAGGTAAAAAGCATGACAGCAGGCAGGTAGGTAAACAAACATGACAGCAGGCAGGTAGGTAAACAAACATGACAGCAGGCAGGTAGGTAATCAAACACGACAGCAAGCAGGTAAGTAAACAATCATGACAGCAGGCAGTTAGGTAAACAAACATGACAGCAGGCAGGTAGGTAAACAACAAGTATGACAGCAGGCAGGTAGGTAAAAAGCATGACAGCAGACAGGTAGGTAAACAAACATGACAGCAGGCAGGTAGGTAAACAAACATGACAGCAGGCAGGTAGGTAATCAAACACGACAGCAGGCAGGTAGGTAAACAATCATGACAGCAGGCAGGTAGGTAAACAAACATGACAGCAGGCAGGTAGGTAAATAAGCATGACAGCAGGCAGATAGGTAAACAAGCATGACAGCCGGCAGGTAGGTAAACAAGCATGACAGCAGGCAGGTAGGTAAACAAACATGACAGCAGGCAGGTAGGTAAACAAGCATGACAGCAGGCTGGTAGGTAAACAGACATGACAGCCGGCAGGTAGGTAAACAAGCATGACAGCAGGCAGGTAGGTAAACAAACATGACAGCAGGCAGGTAGGTAAACAAACATGACAGCAGGCAGGTAGGTAAACAAACATGACAGCAGGCAGGTAGGTAAACAAGCATGACAGCAGGCAGGTAGGTAAACAAGCATGACAGCAGGCAGGTAGGTAAACAAACATGACAGCAGGCAGGTAGGTAAACAAACATGACAGCAGGCAGGTAGGTAAACAGACATGACAGCAGCCAGAGGGATAAGTAAGTAGACAAAGACATAACCAGAAAATATACAACATAGTGAGAGAAAGAACATGAATTTAAACTGAAATGTTCAGTACCCAATAATTCTTGTGTTTTTATTATTTAGATAGCTTTGTTTTTGTTTTATGATCATCATCACCACCATCACCATCATTTGTGAAATCAGTTGCGAGGAACAGATAGATAAAAAGTACACACAGACAGTAGGAAGAGAACAATCTTGAACTGTGGTAGGCATGATCAATGATTTCAACCTACAAACAGCAAACAGCGTCTCTTCCATCTCGGAGAGAAACAGACTAATGATACAAATTAAACTGTACAGGAAGTATGGAGGGAAACTCGAGCGAAACAATTGTGGAGACAGAAGAAGGGTGGAATAATAAAGATATCGTGCTGGAAGGAACGAGAAGAGAGGTTTTGAGGGAACGGCAGCGTCAATAACAAAACCATAGACGCAAGAAAACAGGGATGCAGTTAATAGATGGATGAACATATTTCAAGTTATTTAAAAAAATTAAACGGTGTAAATACTCAAAGACAGAAGGAAAGACGAAACTCAAGAAAAGAAAACCAGAAATAAAGAAAGTAAAACATAAAGAAAAGAAGGTAAGAAACATCGTCTAGAGAAGGAAAGAAAGTAAAACATAAAGAGAAGAAGATAAGAAACACCGTCGAGAGAAGGAAAGAAAGTAAAACATAAAGAGTAGAAGGTAAGAAACACCGTCTAGAGAAGGAAATAAAGTAAAACATAAAGAGAAAAAGGTAAGAAACACCGTCTAAAGAAGGAAAGAAAGTAAAACATAAAGAGAAGAAGATAAGAAACACCGTCTAGAGAAGGAAAGAAAGTAAAACATAAAGAGAAGAAGATAAGAAACACCGTCTAGAGAAGGAAAGAAAGTAAAACACAAAGAGAAGAAGATAAGAAACACCGTCTAGAGAAAGAAAGAAAGTAAAACATAAAGAGAAAAAGGTAAGAAACACCGTCTAGAGAAGTAACGAAAGTAAAATATAAAGAGAAAAAGGTAAGAAACACCGTCTAAAGAAAGAAAGCGATGAAGAAGGAACGCAAGACAGAATTTAATAAAAATAATAAATTGAAAAAAAAAAAGTCACTAATGAAAGACAGAAAGAAAACATTTGGCGTGAGAGCGAGGAGTCAAGAAAGAAAAAGACAGAACAACGCAACAAAGAAGAGACAACAGAAAAAGAAATCGTAGCAGATGTGAAAAACAAAGTCGGTCCTCCCTTGACGGACAAATAGACTAGATCTAACTAGCAGTTGACGTCTGCCTAGCGCAGAATAATTTCAGAAATCTACCCTGGAAGTCAGCCAAGCGGAACCGACCGCGCAGAGGTAGGTAGTCATTGTCCGTGACGAACCTGCGACCAGGGGAGACGCTACCTCGTCAAACATGTCAGAGCCCGAGAAATAACCGGGCTGAAAGGATGATGCAGTCAATGAAAGTGATGAACTGTGGTTAGAGTGTCACCAAGTCGGCCACAAGTCACTGTCGCGCCCGGGCATCGAGTCACTTGTGCTGCCGCTGTGACACCAGGGACATAATCTCCAATTATCATCTGCCATATGACAAAGCCGTGCAGGAGTTTTATGTCCTTGGCGGACCGTTATTTAACTTCGGTTATCGAGTCTGATCCCTAAAATATAGCAATCCTTGACTGTTTGCGATCTGTTAACTAATGGCTGTAATTCGCCAACAGATTGCTACATGGGCCAGATACATTGATAGATATTGATCCAGGTGCAACGGTCCATGAAAGAAAGGATTGTAGGACAGGGACATTGCTTAGTACACTATACACTTACAGTAGTCTAGATGTCCTACTGAAAATTGCCTTGAAATCACATGTTTACATATGAAAAACATGGCTAGATGTGGTCTGTTTTGGCTCTACTAAGTTATAAATCTGTGCAGGATTCGACTTGTGGTTTGTATGCTGCAGGTTGTTCCTAGTCAAGAACTCTACCACATTCAACTGGCTTCTCTGACTCAATAGTTTCTGTTGCTAACGCTTTTTTTTTAATTATTTTATTTGTATTTTTAAGGTTTTTCCTTAATCGTTGATGATTCACTGGTTGAGGCCCTAGCTGGAAGGCAGACACTTGGTCCTCATATTTCTCTGCCATTTGTCATTCGGCATTTTCCGCGAAGTCTTTCTTGATATACTATTTGCTGCACGTGTGTTTTATAGTCTTACATACACCACTTTTTTCTCTACCTACCATCAGTTCCTTTGCTTTTATTTTGTTGTTTTTTTTTGTTTAATGTCTACCTTCTCATTTGGTAATACAATACACCCCACAAATTACATTTCCCTGACTATGGAGTTGAAAATGTTGAAAAGAAGAAGAAGACCAATAAGAACACGATGAAAAGGGAGGAGGATGAGAAGAAGAAGAGGAGGAGGAGTCGGAAAAGATGAACAGGAAAAAAAGGAAGAAGAAGAAGAAGAGGAGGAGGAGTCGGAAAAAGATGAACAGGAAAAAAAGGAAGAAGAAGAAGAAGAAGAAGAAGAAGAAGAAGAAGAAGAAGAAGAAGAAGAAGAAGAAGAAGAAGAAGAAGAAGAAGTTGAAGAAGAAGAAAAAGAAGAAGAAGAAGAAGAAGAAGAAGAAGAAGAAGAAGAAGAAGAAGAAGAAGAAGAAGAAGAAGAAGAAGAAGAAGAAGAAGAAGAAGAAGAAGAAGAAGAAGAAGAAGAAGAAGAAGAAGAAGAAGAAGAAGAAGAAGAAGAAGAAGAAAAAGAAGAAGAAGAAGAAGAAGAAGAAAAAGAAGAAGAAGAAGAAGAAGAAGAAGGAAAAGAAGATGATGATGAAGATGATGATGATGATATTATAGAACGGTTGATATCTAACCTGTGTTTCCGTGAGCTGCAGTTTAGCTGCCAAAGCCTTCCTCTCCTGGCCGACCACGTAGTGGTTTTTCTCGAAGGCCTGCTCCAACTGCAGCAGCTGTGAGGGTGAGAAAGCGGTTCTGTTTCTCTTTGGCTTCCGGTACGGATGGAATAAAAGTCCTGGAGGTGGTCCGACTGAGGATGTAAGAAAGTGAAGTTTTGTCTCCAGTCAAAATATCTCTAACATGTTGTTGAAGGTATTGACATGTTGGCTACTTACATCTAGAGCGGCTATGGGTTGGGGAGGAAAGACAAGACCCCTGGGGGGGGGGTGTAGGGGATAAGGGGAGAAAAAAGATAAGGTGAGGGTGGCCAAGATAAGATGAGGGTGGCCAAAATAAGGTGAGGGTGGCCAAGATAAGATGAGGGTGGCCAATATAAGATGAGGGTGGCCAAGATAAGATGAGGGTGGCCAAGATAAGATAGGGTGGCCAAGATAAGATGAGGGTGGCCAAGATAAGGTGAGGGTGGCCAAGATAAGGTGAGGGTGGCCAAGATAAGATGAGGATGGCCAAGATAAGGTGATGCAAACAGATGCACTCTGAACTCGAAGGATGCTCCTAATTATTTGACCCCAACGATCAGCATGTTGTGAGGTCATATGTCTATTCTTGTTTTCCCCAGACCAGAGCCCGAAAACCAAGATGGACATGTCGATTTGCTGATCTCAGCGACATTCAAATGCTCGCCTTCTCCCATTCTATGTTCCACACGACAATTCTCTGAATTACACTGGACTATTTTTCAACACAACACATGCACATCAACACTGCACACATCACACAACACACAACACACAACACACAACACATGCACATCAACACTGCACACATCACACAACAAAATTCAAATTCAGTGTTGTGTGTTGAACAATCAATATTCATAAAACTGTTTCAGCAGATTACTCTGCTCCACTTCAAGTGCATATTGTGTGCTCACAGTTAACTTCAAGAAACCGGAAAGGGGCCTTACTTATATCCAGCCTGTTGTGTGCCAAGACCGGATCGATGCGTCGCCTCATTAATTATAGGAAATCGTTGTGTGAAACAAACATCTTTCCTCTGCTTCACTCGGACTACGACGACCCATGGAGACCGAAACTGGGTCAGTTACCATACAAGCAAGGTTTGGCTTTTTAAGTTCAGGAAATTTCACGGCTTATGAAGCTGGTACCTAATGCGGAGCCGCGATAGAGTTTGTCTAGCAAGAATATGGAGTTGCGATAATGTTTGTCTTGTACGAATACGGAGCCGCAATTGAGTTTGTCTAGCAAGAATATGGAGTTGCGATAATGTTTGTCTTGTACGAATACGGAGCCGCAATTGAGTTTGTCTAGCAAGAATATGGAGTTGTGATAAAGTTTGTCTAGCAAGAATGGGGAGCCACGATATAGTTTGTCTAGCAAGAATGGGGAGCCGTGATATAGTTTGTCAAGCAAGAATGGGGAGCCGTGATATAGTTTGTCTAGCAAGAATGGGGAGCCGCGTTAGAGTTTGTCTAGCAAGAATGGGGCGCCGTGATATAGTTTGTCTAGCAAGAATGGGGAGCCACGATATAGTTTGTCTAGCAAGAATGGGGAGCCGCGTTAGAGTTTGACTAACGAGAATGGGGAGCCGCGTTAGAGTTTGTCTAGCAGGAATGGGGAGCCGCGATTTAGTTTGTCTAGCAAAAATGGGGAGCCGCGATAGGGTTTGTCTAGCAAGAATGGGGAGCCGCGATAGGGTTTGTCTTGCAAGAATGGGGAGCCGCAATAGGGTTTGTCTAGCAAGAATGGGGAGTCGCGATAGAGTGTGTCTAGCAAGAATGGGTAGTGGCGAGATAGTTTTTCTAGCAAGAATTGTTAGCCACAAAAGAGTGTCTAGCAACAATAGGGAACCAGTCTAGGAAACTGGCTTGCTAGTTCACCTAACGTCCGTGTGTTCAAATCTAGATTGAGACAAAGACTTACAAAATTCAGCCTGGACTATCTGGATAGCCTCATTCTAAAACCGGTAATGCCCGGCTCGCTAGCGTAGTTGGTTAAACGTGACTTTGCGGCGGCCGATTGACGTACTCCGTGTGGTCTGGGTTCACTCTTAGGGATAGGCAGAAAAGCCACATTTCTCCTAGATTTACGGTATTTATCACAGCATCAAGGCCAAAGGGTTGCAATATCTATATTACCGAGCCAAAGGGTTGATAATTCATGGTTATAAAAAAAACCGATAACATAAATATTATTGGAAGTAAAGGCAGCAGCACACTATTGTTAACATGACCCAAAGAGTACAGTTGGATGTAGGCCGCGCAGTGCCGCTATGATACAGAGATACGGCTGTTGAGGCGGCAACGTAAATGGTGCGGCGTAAGCAGCGAAATCAAGAAACAATTTGAACTTGTGATCTGATGCCTGCTCGATGGCTGATACGCCACGGAGATTGTAACAGGACGTTAACTTGTGATCTGATGCCTGCACGATGGCTGATACGCCACGGAGCTTGTAACAGGACGTTAACTTGTGATCTTATGCCTGCTCGATGGCCGATACGCCACGGAGTTTGTAACAGGACGTTAACTTGTGATCTGATGCCTGCACGATGGCTGATACGCCACGGAGTTTATAACTGGACGTTAACTTGTGATCTGATGCCTGCTCGATGACCGATACACCACGGAGATTGTAACAGGACGTGAACTTGTGATCTGATGCCTGCACGATGGCTGATACGCCACGGAGATTGTAACAGGACGTTAACTTGTGATCTGATGCCTGCTCGATGACCGATACGCCACGGAGATTGTAACAGGACGTTAACTTGTGATCTGATGCCTGCTCGATGCCCGATACGCCACGGAGATTGTAACAGGACGTTAACTTGTGATCTGATGCCTGCTCGATGACCGATACGCCACGGAGATTGTAACAGGACGTTAACTTGTGATCTTATGCCTGCTCGATGGCCGATACGCCACCGAGCTTGTAACAGACGTTAACTTGTGACCACGTCCGATAGAGCGGTCCCTTCCAAGCGGAATGATGGCGTTTGATTCCGCCTTGGCAACAGATCTTTTCATGCTACCACCTTTACACATACCAGTGGTAGAAAACACCTGCTCAAACAACTACTGCTGAAATTATGACTAATAATACCGCTGCTGCCGCCGCAACTACTTATGGCGCTGCTGCTACTGCTGCTACTATTACTACAACTACGACTACTACAAATATTTCTTGTTCTTGTTTTTGTTCTTATTCTTGTTCTTCTTTTCTTTTTATTGTTATTATCATTGAATAATATTATTCAATACAGCCACAAAACTCCCCAGAGTGCCAGATATGTAACTACCCCTACGAAACTGTTGAACACCACCTCTTTGAGTGCCCAAAACTCAGCGAGACTAGAAGAATGCTACTCCCTCCGAGACCAGACAAGTGGAACACCTTGTACGGAGGAAAGGAACAGCTTGTGAAAACAAGCAAATTCCACTACATGGCATTGGGCCAACGGGCGAAAGCTCACGCGCCGCTGGATCGATAGCAACAACAACAACAACAACAACAAAAATAATATTATTATATTAATATTATTATATTAATATTATTAAAACGTGAAGAAGTAATCAAAATTTTAGGAAAATTAAACATTGACGGATAAGATTAACGAATAATCAAGAACATGTATTAGCAGCAAACAGCAGCTAGAAGAATTAACAACTGTTTGGGTTCACTTTTGAGCATAAAGATGTGCGCACAACAAGGATATGTTCTGTCACCTGATTCATTTTCATGACACAGAGAACTTATCGAGCCTGCTGGCAACATCATCAACCCGCCACCACCTGGGCCCAGGGGTCAGTCAATGATCTAGTCACTGGCTTTGATTCCTTGTAGGTATATGATGCTAGCCAAATATTTCTTTGTAGCAGGTGACACTTTTTGGTTGATGTAGTCAACATAACTGCGGCCACCTTTACTTCCATTACATACTGTGGCCTCCTTTTTGACTAGGAAACCCACGTCAAGAGGGATTCGAACCTACACATGCTGGTAGAAGGCAGATGGGGCACTTCCCTTCCTGGCACCCTCGGGGCGATTATACCTTATCTTAATTGCACGCCATTCGATACGCGCAGGCACACCGCGCACAAGCGCACGCGTTTACGCACAAAATATGTCAATGAGAGAATAGGATGCCGGCAATTTGGGGTAATATTCGCTTGTGGTCGGACATAACACAGTGGGAGGTCACGGGAACACATCGGATACCCATTTTAATTTACTAACTCATATTTTGCATGTGTGTGGATCTGTGTGTAACCTGCTGCCTTCTTGAGAATGTAAAAGAGTAACTTTGTATGACTTCAAATTGAATAGAACAACGAGTGCCTATTATTATGGTAATTTATTGTGGCAGCGATATGTGGTCGGCCCGAACGCGCAGCCCCGCATCAAGCGCTGTTAAATGATATATAAATGCATTACGGGTATTGGGTTCAGGAAATGGATGTAGAGTTGCACAGTAATCAGATGTATAATTGTTGTTAATACTGTTTTATGGGCTGGCCGCGGCAATATGTGGGGCCCAGTTACATAACAACCACAACAAGTTGTGACAACTGGCACATTTGGTGGCAGACGGGCAGGACAAAGACAAAGAAGCTGTCTGGTCACAAGGCTTAACCGGGGCAGCTACTGTTACTACAACTGGTACTAATACTACTACTTCTGGTGTTGCTACTACTACACTACTACTACTACAGCTGTTATCACTATAACCTCTGCCGTTACTAACTCTAAATGACTACTATAACTACTGTTGCTGTTTTTGCTGCTACTACTACTGCTACTAATACTACTTATACCACCGCCACCACCACCACCACTACAACTACAACTACTACAACTTCAGCAACTACTACAAATACTACAACAACAACTACTAATACTACTTATACCACCGCCACCACCACCACCACTACTAATACTACAACTACAATGACTACTTCAACAACAGCAAAAACTACTACTACTATTACTACTACTACTATTTCTACTACTACAACTACTGCTACCACTACTACATGTATAAAATATCTTAATTGTGTTGTTGTAGTGATGCGTGGTGATCTAAATAAATGTTTGTAGCACTAAAGTT